GCCTGTGGCCATCTCCCTCATTGGGCCAGGGGACACGCACAGAGTGTGGGCCGGCGCCATTGGCTCAACTGGTGATATACTCAGCGAATGAACCAATCAGAACAGAAATGTCTCCGTCTTTCTTTAGTTCCTGCCATCCTATAAAAAGCCCCTAGACAAACAGTTCAGTGGGTTTCTCCCTCTCTTGGATCCTCTCCCGAGCTCTGCTTTCTGCAACAGATCTTTAATCTTCTCTTTAAGCTGCAGCTCTATAATAAAAAGCTCCCTTCCACACACACACCCTTCTTGTCTGTGAATTTCTCTCCCCAGTTTGTGAGACAAGGACCCAAAGTACAACCGCTGACTCACGTGAAGTTCTGGGTGACCCTACTGTCCGTGCTCTCACCTAATATGAAAACCCTCGCTCTCAAGGACACGCCCTTTCCTGTTCCTCTATTATGAGTACTACCTGGTAGCAAGGACTCCATGAGCAGATTTTCCAAAGAACAGAGTGCCACATGGGCAGGAGTTAGCAAGCACACGTGTGTACACACACACAAACACACACACACACGAGAGAGAGAGAGAGAGAGAGAGAGAGAGAGAGAGAGAGAGAGAGAGAGAAACAGACACACGAGAGAATGAGAGAGACAGAGACAGGAGGGAGGGGGGAGAGAGGGGGAGAAAGAGGGATTTCACTGGATCACAGAAAACTTGCTAGAATCCAAAGGAAATAAAGGATGGGGAAACCCTCGTGCAGGAGAGAAAGCCCTACTGAATGTTAGTTATTAGTGAAAATGACCAGTTGTGACAGTTAATCTTGCTTGTCAACTTAACTGGATCTGGACTCAACTAAAAGGCAAGCTGGCTGGGAAAACCTGGAGGGATTTTCTCAGTCAGGTTTCTAAGGTGAGAAGACGCAGCCTAACTGTGGACAGCACCTCCTCACGGTGGCTCAGATGAAGGAGGTCTGGAGGCCAAAAGGCCTGCATGGCTTTTTGCCTGCTGGTGCTTGCTCCTGCTGGCAAGGTCATCTACTCCACGGCTGCCACCGCTACTCTCCTATTCCGTTGCTAATACCAGAATGCAACTTCTTCAGGCTTCCAACGCGGACTGAAGAATCCATCCAAGAGTGGAACAGGGGATCCTCTAAGCCTCAGCCCCAGCCTCACAGACTGCTGCATGGCTACCAGGTTCTCAGCCTCCCCAGTGTGAAGATGGCCAATGATGAACTACCCAGACAGCGGTGTAAGGCATGGCAGTGAATCCCCTTTTAATGTATGTATTCATTGTATCAGTTCTGGTCCCCAGGGAAGTCTGACTAATATACTCCTGCTATACTAATTTCTTGCCTTTGATCTCTAATTCTTTAAGTTTTTTTAATATAACCTGAGAAATTGGAAACCACAGACCTCCTCTCAATCACCGCTTCCATCTAGGATTGGCTTCCAAAGCCAGGAAGACGCTCCACCATCACACCCATCTCGGCACACTGGGTTCAAAAATCAAGCCACGTGTCAAAGACACTTCCTACTATCCACTGGAGTCATTATCAAACAGCCAAAAAACCACTAGTAGATGATACCAAGTGGACGAGACCAGAGGACTATCCGTCTGTCCCATTTTAAAGCCCCGAGACGGCACTCAGCCATCTGTCTTGGTACTCATTCCAAGCTGGAGGAAGAAACTTCTCTGTTCTGTTCAATTTAAACTCTTCAAGTGGAGCCTCAAGACCATTTCAACACATTCCATTTTCAAACAATTTGGAGTACTGCTATTTATCATCTGGGTTATGGGATGGTATCATGCTGTGGGGTGGAGGTGAACAGTGAGTGAAATAACGTATGCAAACGCCGCTCAGTCTGGCACATAAGCGCAGGCGTATACCTTCACTGGGTGCCTTAGGACTAGGTCAGCCACAAGGGAAACAAGCACAAGGCAGAATCAATCGTTCACGCAAAACAAAGAGGGGCCGGTAGAGAATATAGTTAAACAAGACATGAAAATATTCGGTGGCTTTCAGGTGTGGCTGGATCCAGGATTCAAAGGTTTGTCATGCTCCTCTTCGTTTCTCCCTCTGCTTTCAGACCCCGGGAGACCGAGACCACCAACCACCATCTAGATGGGCTCCTCATTAGTCAGTTCATCCAGATCTTACCTAACGCCAACCAAGTGTGACCAACAGTGACCAACCAACAGTGACCGTGACAGGGAAAACTGTGGCCGCCATAGAGTTTTCCTTACATCGGAGAGGGGGTGCTATGGTTTGAATACAATTTGAGTATGTCCCCCCAAAAGTCATGCAATAGAAGCCTGACCATGTGTGGCAGTGTTAGGGTGCTGGGACTTTTAGGGGGTGGGGCCTCATGCCAAGTCATTCATTCCTGGAGGCTCACCCTTGGAAGGGATTCATGCCAGTCTCAAGGGACCACAGGTGCTGAAGGTGTTAGAAAAAGAACAAACTTGGCTCCTGAGCCTCTCGGGAAGGCTGTTCCACTTCTCTCACCTCATTACCATTCCATCTACCATGCGGTGAGGACCACGGGGCGGGGGGGTGGAGGGGGAGCGGGGGGGGGGGGGGGGGGGAGCAGGGGGGACGACACGACACACAGAGGCAGAACTGAGGGATGACCTAGGCCGTCCGGTCTCTGTAACTGTGAGCTCAATCACATGCCTTTGGAAGAAGCGCCCTGTTTTTGGTATTGTTAGAGCAACAGAAAATGGACTAATCCGGGGACCCATTAGAAGATAAAGGTTAAAGGATGGCTGAAAAATAAAAAATGTCATCTTCCACAAAACAAGGCCATGCCTTCTGCTGTCATTAAAGTCAGCTTTCTCGTCTCCATGCTAGGACACACATCCGTCACATTTCTCTTGCCTTTGACATATGTGGGGCGGGGGAGGGCAGCAAAGATGGGTCTCACATAGATTTGCCTATGAGTTTGGGTACAGCTAGTTTATGCTGCAGATGGACGGCATGATACTTCTGCCAGTGGCCTCCAACTCTAACATAACTTCTGCTCTCCATTTCTTAAAAACACCCATTTTAGATCATGTTGTGCTAAGCACGGGCTAACAGCCTTCCTGGTTTCCTTCCAATAGGATGCCAGTAAAATCCTGCAAAGCCCTGCCACATACTGGTCATCTACGCCTTCGATGACCTGGTTCCACTTCTAGGCTCTATTCAACTTTGTGACCAGAAGGACTCAAACCCAAGCTTTCTGAGAAGCCAGGGGTGAGGTCTAACAGAAAAGCTTCACCTATGTCTCTGGGGAAGGGAAGAACGAATGCGCTCTTGGAGTGCCCTGGGGCTGCTGGATATTGATGGTTTACAGGTGACCCTCGGTGAAAGTGAAAACACCACCAATCAGGTTGTTCTCGCTTGAAAACACTTGGATACACAATGCTATTTCCGAGTCAGTCCACTAACAGGTTAACACAGCACACTTGTACGGGTCCACCAGAGCCATGCCAAAAACTCACTCGGGGAGTTTTCACTAAATTTAAGGTTGCCTGGAATGGGGTGGCGGGTGGGGGGTGGGCGGTGAGGTAATCATTTTAGTTTTTAAGTAGTATTACCGGCCACATGCTCTGCCCCCCACTGTCTCCCTAATTTTGTCGGCCTTTCATTGGCTCCCTACCCCTTCTACCGCAGTTAGCATGTTTTGCAGGGACAGTAATTTACTCCTTTTAATCCGTGTACAACGGCCAAATGGATCATTTGGCTCAGTCAAAATCTCATCGTTTAAGCCTTAAACAAAAATGGATTTTGAATCGAAAAGCTCACCAGCCTCAAGCTCTACCTCATTTTCACATGGCCTTGTCCAGCTTACAGCTTACGCCTTCCCGGCACGCTAGCTCAGTCTGCTGGAGCCTGGTGGCAGCATGGCCTCTAGGGGACAAGTCCTTCTGCGTAGCCACCCCTCCCGGATTAATCCTAGTCTCGGAGCCGCCAGCAAGACTCTGGATTTTTGTTTGTTTATTATTATTATTATTATTTTTTTAAAGGCTAATGCCCTTATCTTTGCACTCCAGCCGGAAGGTCTGTTGAGCCTTCTTTCCTGCCCCTTGGCTTCTAAAATTGGGCCCGGTGCCTCGGGCCGCCTTCCGAGTTAGGAAAAGGGCTCGAACTTTCCCAGGGAACCGAGGGGCGTCCCCGCAGCGCCTTAGCATCCCCCCCTCCTCCCTCCCCGCAAAGCCCCGGTGGCGCCGGAGGGAACGCGCTGCGGCCCTCGCTCCTGTCCTCCTCCTCCTCCTCCAAACCCGGGCGGGGACCCCAGCAAGCACCCGGTGCACAGCGCCCGCCAGGCCCCTCGCTCGCCCCAGCCCCTAAGCCGGGCTCGGAGGTCGGGGTGGGGTGCCACCTGCGGGCCGCCACGCGCGGGCTCCGGTGCGCGGCTCCCGAGCAGACTGGGCGGCTCCCTACCGGGCTGGGCGGCTCCCCCGCGGGTGCGGGGCGAGGGGCGCGGGGCCTGGGGGTGCAGAGTCGCAGGCCGCGCTGCGGTCCCACCCGGCCGAGAGGCGGCGCGGAGCCCGCACGGGGCCGCCTCGGCGATTGGCTGCGCCTCCCCCCCGCTCCGCCCGCCGCGGCGCCCGAGGAGCGAGGACGCGGGGACCCGCCTCCCGCCCGCTCCCGACCCCGGGCGCGCGGGATAAAAGGCGGGCGGCGGGCGCGGGAGCCCGGGCCCTGCAGCCTGCGAGCGCCACCGGCGGGCCGGGTTCACCCGCCGCCCACCCCACCCCCGCTCCCGGCACGGCCGCCGAGCCCCGGGCGGTACCTGCAGCCGAGCGAGAGCTCGGGGACACCGCGCCACCGCCGCCGCCTCCAAAGTCGCCAAAGTTGAGAGGCTGCCGCCCACCGGGAGCAGGAGGGAAGGTGCGAGCGCGCGGGGCCCGAGCCGAGCGAGCGACGCGCAGACCTTCCGAGCGCACGGCCGTCGGCGGCCTCTCCCGAGCCGCGGCGGCTTCCCAGCGCTGTGAGTGGTCGGCTAGACCGACGGCTGGCTAAGTATTTCCGTTCA